ACACAATAAATGTGAACCTGTTCCTGCTATTAATCCAGCAGGATTATCCAGCCCAAGAGGGGATCACAACCAGCATCCCAGCCTATCTGCAAATGCAAAATCAATCCCAAAGGCATTTTTGGAAGGCCTGTTCTTTCGTTGCAGCACGCAGAGGGGTGTGAGAGTGAAGAGACCAAGTAGTGCCACTGTCGGAACACAACACCTTTCTGCAAACAGGCACCAAATTTAAAGTACAAAAGTTCAAAGAGACCCACATATTGAAACAGAGGCTCGGGCGCCTGGGTCGCTCAGATGGTTGAGCATCTGCCTTCGGCTCAGGTCATGATCCCAGGGTCCTAGGATCGAGTCCCGCATCGGGCTCTCTGCTCCTTGGGAGCCTGCTTCTCCCTCTGCCTCTCTCTCTCTCTGTCTCTCATGAATAAATAAATAAAAATCTTTAAAAAAAAAAAAAAAAAGAAAGAAAGAAAGAAACAGGCTCAATAGTCAGAAAAACCCTAATTACGCCTCACCTATTCCAAAAGGACACAAGAATTCACAAGAAAAAAAGTACAAAAAATAGCAGACACCCAAGATCCCACCTCCCAGATTTAACAGATATTTACATTAGATTCCTTTTTTTTTCAATAAAACAGACATAGCTGAGGCCCTCCCCACCCCCTCTCTCCACTCCCTCTTTCCCCAAGCAATGGTTCCCCTGTGCAATTCCCACACATTTCTGACCTCTAACTGCAATTTATCCTTTTCTTATATACATATCCATGAGCAGTACACATAAATCTCCTCTGGTACTTTTTTAAATATATAGAATCTTTTGCAACCCGCTTTTTTCCACTCAACAGGATGTCTGGAGATTTATTAAAGGACTGGGTAATCAAACTAGATTTTCTTTCATATACTGGAATTGTGCACAACAGTAAAAATAAATGAACGAGAGCTATATGTAGCACCTCCGCTTTTATGCATATCCTTTCATGATATATTTCCAGCAATTTCATAATGTTCTTTAATACTGGCCTTTGCTTTCCCAACTAAACAGGTTCACTTGCCCCCAAAGAGCAGCCACAGAAAGGCTCAAGCTGTCCTGGTCACACAATTATTTACTAAGTGGCAGAGCTAGGATTCCACCCCAAGCCTGTCCAAAGCCCACACACCTATGACACAATGACAGGTCGGTCTCCTTTCTCCTTAATTTTTGCCGTCCTGCCCAGTTTTCTGGCTCTAAACAATTGCCCCTAGACCAGAACTCTACTTCCAGAGCTTCCACATACTTATTCCTGTGGAGGAAGCTGAAGCAAAACTGGCCTCAGACAAGTACTATGTTGGTCTAGGATATCTGCAAAATAAGCACCAATAAAACTACCCTTTTTGTGGGGGTGGAAAATCCTAAATGAGGGCAGCAGGGACCCCGAGAGGATGAGGCTTCCTCATCTCCAGGTACCCAGCTAAAGGAAGTGGGCAGTGATCTGGGCTCAAAGAGACTGAGAGGCACTGATCTTCCTGGGGAATTAACAGGCTCATTTACAAGATGCAGCAGCTGTTTTTCCAGTTACCACTGGAATCATTACTTTGACTCTCATCTGCAATGGCAAAAACAGCAACAAAAAATATATATCCTGTAGCCTGGGATAAGCAGGATAAGCAGTTCCCTTATCAACCCTGCTCTGAGCCCAAGACAATCCCAAGGTCTGCTCTGGCCTTCCAAGGAAACAACTTCAGCCAGGGCCCAAGGGTGACCTGTTCTATCTGCTTCATCTCAGGCCTGAAGGGATACTTTTTCTTGCTGGATCAAAGAGGGGAAATTGGCAGTGACAGTAAACGGTTATTGAAACAGCAACAAATCCCCCCTCCAGCTGGAACCCTACCTGCCATAACATCAGACATCAGCGCTCATTAACTCACTGCATGACACTCGGCGGGATTCACACTTTTCTGAGCATCACTTCTACGCTTTGTAAACTGCACTTCATAATCTCGAGGTCTCTCTCGGAGCCACAAAGGTCTTTTGAGGAAGGCCATCCCCTCAGTGGACAGGGGGTCACTTGGGGTGGAAAGATGGACTTAGTCCTGAATAGAAATATATTCTTTTTTTTTTTTTTAAAGATTTTATTTATTTATTTAATAGAGAGAGAGAGCGAGAGAGGGAACACAAGCAGGGGGAGTGGGAGAGGGAGAAGCAGGCTTCCCGCAGAGCAGGGAGCCCGATGCGGGGCTCGATCC